TTGTGTCTCAAAGGCAGCCCTGTAAGCCAAGGTGAGTACACAATTTCAAGTTTAACTGAGCACTTTGGAGCCAGTTTTGCTTACTGTTGACCTTTATCTGTGCCTGTCGTTGGGTGACAAAGATGATGATACTTTATTTTTTAAGAAATTAGATTAGTAGCTGATGTAAAATACAGTATGTTGATGCCCGAGTTTGCACAACCGGATTTGTTTTGCAATGTGAAGGCGCAATGAAGTAAATTCAGAGCATCACAGATCTGTAGCGTAGTCCAGTATTGCTTCTTTGATAGTGACTCTTTGGGAGTGGTCTGTCACAAGGGAAAATAGGCCAGAATTCCAAACAGGCAATTTGGAAAAAAACATGTCCCAGAGGGCCTGGCAATGTGCTGAAGCACGTAACTGGGAGTTTGTTTGTTTTAAGGGACTTTGTAATCCCATTTAATGTAATTCCAGAGATTTTCTTATTCAAGGAAGTGCTTGGCCTTTCTTGAAACCTCAGTGTGACACGTTTATTGTATCTATAAATTTTGCTGCTGAATTTGGTTTAAAAAGTCCCTTCATCAGTTTAACATACATTGATTTTTTTTTAAATTAGATTTCTGTTTGTTCTTGCATAATGAAACATGGATAAATGAGACCATTTGGTGTATCTTACCGTTCTTTATTCTCAGTTTCTTATATTCAGTAATTCTTCATGTTAACAGAACATTGCTTCTAAAAGGCTGTATTCTGTACTGTGCTTGCTTTTTTCCCCCCACATCTGGGAACTGAATCATGTATACCTTTGCTGGGGCCACACTATAAAGCCTCTTAGTAAGGGTGGCTCCTAGACCCTGATTCTGTGAACGTGGGTCGTGGAGAGCAGGGTAAATAAAAAAAAAGGAGATGTTGTATGTGGGTGATTGTTCTGTGGCTTTCCACAGAAGTCTCTTTGATTGGAGTCTGTGATAAAGCCTTAATGAGACTCAAGAGAGCTGAATCTTTTGACATGTATCTTTAAACATACAGGAGCTTGTTTGCCTTCACATGAAAATGACATCTTTGGTATAGCTGTGCATACTCTGTAGTCATTTACTTTTGTACATCATACAAGAAGATGTCTTTTTTAACATCTTGTTGAAGAAATCTTTAATTCTTCCCCTTGCCCTGCAGTGAACCCTACACAGTAGCTGTAAAGTCAGTTACCCTCACATCTGTGCCACCTTCTCCAGAATACTGCAGAAGTGAAATCCTTTGTGCCGGATTCCAGATCTACAGTGACAGCAACAGCTCCTGTACGGTCAGTAGCTCTGCAGACCTCAGCTTTCCTTTCCTGTAGTATTACATGTGCGTATAATCTCATTTGAGCTGACAGTCTAGAACAGTAACAGCAATGCAACAAAAAAATGAGTCAGTTTCCCCAGAGTTCAGTGTGGTTATTAAGACATCCTTTACTCCACAAAGTGGAATCTCTCTTGCCCAACTTTGGCCAATCTGAATGTTAAGAAACAAATCTAAACTAAGCACTGGAGATGGCTAGGCACCTCCAGAGTCATTCATTCAATCCTAAAATACACTCCTAGAAGGTGTGTGTTAAACTGGTCTCTGGTGATGTCCATCTCTTTTCACTGACTACAAAAGTCCAAGGAATCAGTTCAGATTAAACACTTAACTTTCGCATGTCAGAAATTATGCTGTCTGAATCCCATCTCTGGACCAATGACAATGTTCCTCTTTTGTTCTTTTCCATGGAAGGCTATAACTTTTTCATTTAAGAAAATATATTTCTGAAAACATTCAGCAAGTCTCAGTGGCTGGGATTTTTTCAGGCAACAGCTTTGTTCATAAAGCACATATATTTAACAGGTTACACATTATGTTTCTTGCTGCACTGCTGTATACGTTTACCTACACGCTCGAGGACCTGGCAGTAGTGAGGACACTGAGATCACTAAAGTACTGTAAAAAAGGCATGCTCTTTTGGCTAATTATTGCCTTCAGTTTCAGAAGCACTACGTGTTTCTATTCACATCCATAAAAACTTTGATAGCCACCTAGGCTCTGCAAAAAATGGCTAACTATGGCAATCCATAGGCTTTTTTGTTTCATTTATTTTTGTTTAAACAGGTGTGTTACTTCAATCAAGTGACATCAGGTGTTATGCCGTACTTAGCTGCAAATCTTACTGGCTCATCAAAATCCATTGAAGACACTGCTTTGGAATGTATAAAGTTCTTGGAGCTGAAAGGAAGCAAGTACTGAAGTTAAAAACAGGTTTCTGAAGAGCCCTCCAACGACTCTCAAGCAGTACTGGTTTAAATTCCTGCATGTGTGTTGATCATTTTTCTGCAGGTTAGTTACTTTGGATCAAGTAGCCAATATTGCGCTTGAGCCTGAGAATATCTAGTACAAGCATTTTCTATAAATTGAGATTAGGCCTTAGGCTCTAAATTCAATTTTTAACTTTAAAGATATTAAAGGACAGATTCTGCTCTTGATTTCATTAATGAATTTTATATAAATGGAGGCAGAACTTGGCCCAGTAGCACTGTAGCTCATGAGACTATTTCACTATTTTAACGTTACATTGAATGTAATGGCGTTCAGCCAGTTTTAAATCAGTAAATACCACCCTGTCTAATTTGCAGAGTGGTGCTACTAAGTAGCTTACCCAGTGTTCTGACGTGGTTGTCCGGGTTCTTGCACACCCATTGTATACAGATTGCACCCTATGTCAGTCAGTGTTTGCTAATGTTTGTACTTTATCTGTTAATACTTGTAGTTAACCGTGACTTCCAATAAATTATTGTTTCTGAGGTTACAAATCCATGGTAAATTTTATTACGGTATCTCTGGAATGGCTTCAGACATTGTTCCAGAAAGACTGCTTTGTAGTGATGATGGGGGCTGTTGGCCTCTTATGGAAGTGTCATGACCTCCAGCTGGCAAGCTCTATTCCGCTAGCATTGCATAAATGCAGAACAGTGAGACTCTTGGATCCACTCCCTCACAGATGAAAAGGGGAATGGTTTCAGAGGTTTTATTGTAGCATGTCTACTTTGTTTTCTGCTCTTATTTTTGCTCAAAAGAGCCTTGTTCAGAAAAACAAGCATGATCATCAGCAGTTAGATCATAACACGAATGCAGGGGTGTTAAGAGAATCAAAGCATCTGAACTGTTGCAGTGCCCTTTTATCTTACTGTAGTCTCATAATTGGTAGAGCAAGAGCTCTAGGGGTCTGGTCCAGTTCCCACCTCAGTAAATACTTCTTCAATTTAACCTATAACCAAATCAAAGCTTTCACCAGTGATTTATAGGTTACAGCATGCCTGCACATTTTGCATGTGGCACATCTACCAAGTGCAGTAGAAGAGACACCAACTGGAGTCCTGGAAGCCCCCTGGGTACGCTAGCACTGTGAGTCACCTGGCCTCTCAACACGGCTCGTTTAGCTTGGGTACAGCCTTGAACCAAAGCATTAGTGAAACCAGCCGCTGTCTTCTACGGCTGGCCACTGTATGCCATACAACACAGGGGTACCTTTGCACTAGTACTAAAAAAAGTAAAGCGGCTCTTGGACTTTGGCTCTGGAGGAGAGACTATAGAACCAGATCCTGATTTTGGATCGCCATTTTTATCACACGGGTGAGGTGCATTACCTCAGTCTAGGGAGTGAGGACAGCAGCCTCAGGGCAGCCCCCCTCCAGAGCATGAAAACCACTGAGGCCCTGCTTGCTTAAACTCTAATTATTTGCCTAACTTTTAAATTTATTTGTGGATATGATGCATCTTTACATGCAGCACCTTTTACAGCTGCTTTTCGAATAGCTTTCTTCAACTACACATACCTTTGTGAAATCATCTAAAAGGAGGTTAGTGGGTGCATTTAACAAGTAGTTTTGTCCAAGTTACTGAAGATTGCTAACCTGTGCAGCTGTTTTAGAGTTAAGTGCAAGCACTTCAGTGCCTCATTTTCCTCAGCAGTCACTGAAGCAGAGGACAAGAGGGAGGTGTACGTGCTTCTAGCCCCATGCAAGCACGTGTGATTACCTGAAAACAGCTGTTGCCTTTATACTGAAATTCTCACAGAGTCCGTGCCCTGCAATTTTCTAAGTCAGTCCATTGTTTCTTCTCAGAGGACAACAGAGCAATCGTCAGGTGTAGGAGCCCAACGAGTGTTTTTATAGTGCAAGATGGATCAAAGCAACAGGTATGAAACTCAAGGTTGTCTTACCCAGTGATGGTTGTTAGGCTCACTGACCTCCAGAGGAGCGCTACAAGGACTGCATCACTGCGCTGAAGAGAAGGCTGGGCTCAGAAGGCAGGCGAGCTGGATACCAGCGTGCCTTGCTTGTGCTCCACCATTTTGAGAACAGAGCTTCATCCACCGCTTCTTGAGGGATTTCTTTTGCCGCAACTGTCCTCTCTCACTCATCCTGGTTTTAGCAGTCCATTTTGCCAAGAAGTGACAGTGATCAGCTGTGGGAAGGGAACAGTGAAATTTCTTTTCCTTCAACTTACACATCGTGCACCACGTAACTTAGCCGTCTATCAAAGGGATACCTCTGCCTCAGATCGCAGCAGCCCAACTGGGTGACGACATCTTGCTTAGAACCACAGACCAGCCATTTCCTTGGGAGGAGAGGCTGCGCTCTGGAAACCACAACTCACGCACCACACTGTCTACACCAACCCCTTATCTGGGAAGTATTGGTACCTCTAGGAAAGCCAAGGTGCACGGCTTCTAGTTCCTATGGGTGAAGGAACATGTTTCAATATCAAGGAGTTTTTAAAGACAGGAAATGACCTAAGAAGATGCTTTTTAAACAATATACTTATTCACATAATAGAAGGGAAACACTTTTTAAGCTGGGATAAATGACTGTTGCAAAACATCCACATTAAAGTGATACTGCTTTGTGCTTTAATCCAAGTTAATCAGAACTCCAATTAATCCTTGATTTCATCCACATCCACTCCTCTTCCTCATTTAAATGTGTGCTCTGATTATTATAAACTGAATACACATGCCCTATCTTAGCCAACTTATGTGCCTTTGTATCTAGAGCAGAACCACATAACCTAAAATAAGAGCTCTAACTCTTGTATTCTTTAGCAGTGTTTTATTAAAAATAATTAACACGTACAAACATAAAATATATCCACGCAATTAAGATTCCTGTATTTATTTTCTGCTGTGAGAAAAGTATGTTCCAAACTCATAGTTCCAGCAGCTGGTCCTATGCACCTCAAAACCCAGTCCTGAGCTCAAGTTTGCTATCTGGTGTTCCTTCTGCGTTCTCACCAAGGCGATGTATGGACCGTTAGGACACATTTATTCAAAGGGTAAATTAATTCTTTAGAAGCAGTAGCGTTACTGTGTCGCTTTCCCCTCAAGGACTGTTGCCTATCACCATGTAACGCTAGCTGAAGTTTTCAGAAGGCACATTTAAGATTTTTGGGACACGGAAGTACTTGTGCTTGCCCGATGGCAACCGCAGCTGCAGTAGAGGACAGAGAAGCCCGCTGCCGCAGGTGCCTGCCTACACAGCACAGCGGAGCGCTGCCCAGAGGCCCCGCACGGCACCTGCCCACGCTGCCCAGAACTGCGTCAAGAGGCCGGTTCAGAACGAAGCGCCGCGTGCGAGATGAGCTCGAGGTGCCCTTCCGCAGTAACACCGTGCTTCCTTGTCCGTCTTAGGTGAGGTGATCAGATGCAAGTGAAAGCCTACTACCACTGGCTGCACAGGCTGAATTACTACAGCTTTCGGAGAGCTGTTGCAGGAACTCCATTTTCAGTTGGTTTTGTAACTTTTTTTAATATGTATCAGTTTCTCTAAGGCTGCTGTTTTTCAGGCTGCAGTCTCCATTGAAAAATAAATAAATCTGCCATTAAGCAGGCATGTGTAATACAAAGCAAAGTTTACTCCCCACTCACCAAGGGATAGAAACACTGAAGATTGTGCACTGAAGAGCACTTTCCTTGAAAAAAACAAAGAAACTAAGCAAGCTGCTCACTTGCTCCCCAACTCTTTTCAGGTGTATTTCATCATGGGTATCAGAGGAAGGGCATGATTCTGTTTTTGTCAGTGAACAAATACTCAAACAATCCAACATGCACTAAACAATCAGGTTAATGCATGTACATATTTAGCTGAGCAGCGGTAATTGGACCCCAAGCTCTACAGGCTATAGGGTTTACCTGATAACTTCACTATACGACTGCTCAAGCTTGCACATACGGAGCAAGAAATCATTCTTTCTAAACGCAGAAGGCAAAACCAAACCAGAACCCAACGAGAGTCTTTTTAGAAAATACCTACAATGCCTTTCAGAGCGATGCAGAAATAGTACAATCAGCACGACTGCGTTCATCTCTGACTGATAAGTAAAAGCAGCACTCAAGGTAACAATACTGACCATCGACATCCAATGGTCACAGACCCCCGTGATAAAATGCACCTGTTTGGTTACTGCAACCAGATCCCTGTTACGAGAAGAAGCCAATTTCCCTCTTCAGAGAGCTGGCAGTGAGAGGGAATGTGAATCAGAGGGAATGCTGTATTTCAGCAGAGATGATACATAAAATACCCACTTGCTGTATTTCTGTTGTTCCCAGCTTTTCAGTAAGCTAGGGGAGTCTGGGAGGCAAACTGGAAAAATGAGGGGGGAAAAAAAAAAAAAAAGTAGTTTAGCAGCAGCAGTCTGCTTGATTTTCTGGAACCAGCAATCCACTCTGTGTAGTCACTACTCTGGAGTGAAACAGTGCAGGCTAACTGTGGTTTAAAGCCAAGAGGCCTTCAAAAAGTAACAACTTTGGGTACTTTCGCTTTTGGGTTTCGCAGCTTTGGTGTTTCTGTAATTTCTTCATAATCTGCGCTCATTCCAACGGCCCATCGCCCAACCGTAACCTGATCTGTAGAGTGAGAGACAAGAGATCATGGAAAGGCTAAGCATTACCATTATACCAAACTTTCACATCTGAGGAAGATTTGGCGTGCAAAGGCCTGTCATTGATTCACCAAAGATCTCTCAGTTCAGTTCTAGCTCTGTAGCCAACTGTCTTTACACAACTTTTTTTTTTTTAAATTGTGTTTTGTAAACTCCCCTTCTTCCCCCATGCAGATTGTCAAGGTTCAGAAATCATTACAACATCTTTTTTCCTATTTGACTGTCCAAAGAAACATTCAAAGAGTATGCAGACGATACATTAGCTCTCACCTAAGTCCAAATAACTCTTATGATGAAGATATCAGAACATGTCAAGCATCTCTGGATATAAAGGAAAGACCTTCTCTATTATACAGATGAAAAAACTAAACCTGAGGAGGCACAACAGAGCAAAATTTGTATTTCTCAACTCACATCCCTGCATATAATCAGCATCATCCTTCTGCTGTTTAAATGCTGTTTGGACCAATTCATACCCCTTTCCTAGAGGAAACACTGTTAACCAACTGATACTTCTTTTCTGAATGACAATCTACTTTTGAAAGCAACAAATCAAATCATACCAAGAATATCACACGGATAAATCAATGTTTACTTGGATTAACTTCTGTATATTAAAGCAGGCCAGATAACTCCACCTGAAAAAATTGTAAGCTGTAGTGCCTAAACTTCTTTGCCAGCCATCAGCTATCTTCCTGTAGTCTAAAAGTACTTTGCATGATGCAAAATCATTTCAAAGAATATTACAATTCTTACCAACGGTGTCACAGTTCCAACTAATTCAACAATTTTTAACCAGCAATACTAGTTTTGAAACATCAGTGTAAAGACTAAGATGTCCTTTGGGAAATTAAACAGCAGCTGTCAGTCTTCATTACAGACATAAAACTTCTCCAAAAAAGGTAGAGAAAACCTCCAGTTCTGCTTCACGTGTAATTTAGAGCCCTACTGCCAGAGAGCAGAAAGGCTTGCATCGCACAGCACTAACAACTGAAGACTGCCATTTCTGGTAACAGCTGGCCCAGCTTCGAGCAGTGCCGTTCCCTACGAACGTTTCTTTTCTCCTACCGCGTCTGCACAGGTTTCCGACGTAAAACAAAGCGTTAACCACACAAAGGTAGTTTGCTGTAAACGTGGCCTGCAGAAATCCAACAAAGGCTACGTTACAGGCTTTCAACTCAGCAGTCATCTGAGCGGGCACTGCCCAGCAAGCTGCTACGGCTGATGAGTTTGGGGAAATTTTAGAGTCTTTTCATATCAGAAACTTCTATCAGACCAGTTAAGGCTCAATCTCACCTGTTCTAACCTAGCAAAGCAGCATACATCTAGAAGGTTACATATGGTCTTGGATGCAACAATATCATATATATAGGATCAGATACAGAAAACAGCTGAAGTATAGGACTCTATTGCCTCCATAAATATTTCTTACATAAATTCCACAAAAGTTTATGGCATATCATTAACCCGAAAGTTCTATAAGCCATACAAACGAAGTAGAAAAATGAACAAAAGTTTCACTGCTTCAGTGACAGCCTCATTCTTCAAACCCTTGTTTGATGCTTTTGCCTTCCTCAGCAGTTTTTTTTTATAGAACGTCATTCTCCCACCCACACAGAAAACTGAAGAACGTGTAAGCAACTTATTAGCTGGTGAATCTAGCTGGACAGATCTCCTGTCTCCTCTTTCTCTCCTGTCTTGAATGACTTGAACACTTGCCTGCACACTCAGCTTTTACAAGTACCACCACCCTGCAACTGACATTATATTCAGTTCCACCACTTCACACACAAATCATCAAAAGAAGAAACCAGTTTTGCTCTACTGCTGCTAAAGTTGTGAACAGCAGCATAAATACTGGCTAACAAATACACATCAGCTCATCATATTATCTTCAGAAACACACAAGCTAGATTTTTTTTTGAACGGAAAGTTCAAGTTTTGCATCGCAACTTAATGCCTCCTCCACATACCCCTTAATATAAGCACTCATTCCCAAAGGAACGTCACCTTTGCTATTTGCAAGTTCTCTTCTCAAACCCTTTTTTCCTGAAACTCCACTCTGTATGCTCTCCTGCATCTCACCTGAGTTCTGTTTTTCCGGACAGTCTTTTCTGAAGTGCTCCACGGAGCCACAAAGTCTGCAGCTACCACCTGTTAAAAGAGAAAGTTGTTACTCATCTGGGGGAAAAAAAAAACACCAAAAAAACCCAAACACAAAACAACCCCCCTACACCGTTTTGCTCTTGTATGTATATTGAAAAATCTTGTTCTAGTTTTCTGTAGCAACAACCTGTAAATAAGATAAGGAAACGTTCCTGTGGAGTGGTCTGCACTCCTGGGCACAATAATGTAACATTGCGGAGCAGAAAGGCAGCCAGCTTTAGAAGCCTGCAAACACAGCTTCCTCTGCCTCCCTGCCTCTGACGGACAGACAGGGCTGTTTGTACTCACGTTGCTCTGTAAAGCATCACATACTACAAATTCCAGTCACCACACACTGAGTATTTCTGATTTGTTTGAAGCTCTCTTTTTGAGAAACAAGCTAAATTCTGCTGAAATACAATTATTCAAAGGAATTTTTGAAATTAGTAGGAGCTCCTGAGAGACGGGCAATCCAACTGCAGGTACTGAGATATTAAATATAAATTCTACTCATAATCCAAACATTGGAAGTAGAATTGCAATGCCTCTAAAGTGATTCTTCTTCTAACTGTTATAAGACCCCCCTTTTCAGTCGGCAAGACCTCAGGTTTGTACTGGGAGACAGAATGTTATTTGTTAGTGCCAACAGAGAAACCAGGCAGAGCAGAATCTGAGTGAAATCTTCAAGCTTAGATCACATTTCTCATTGAGTCACTTAAACTGAAGATGTCCTCTTTCTAGTGAGAGCCCTTGTTTTGCGTGAACACCTCCCAAAGTCTTAAGCTATAGTATGAGAGTATGTTTTTACCACATACTTTGGTACGTGGACATTTAAATACACACTGACTACATACATACAGCCTATTATGATTTTGTTTCTTTGTGCGCCTCTTGAAATTGCAAGCACAAGCAAGTTCTCATACTTTGCATCTCATCTCGTTAACACTAAGCTTACAATTAAAACAGAAATCCCCAGGTCATCAATATTAACACTGAATTTCCCAGAATTCCCCAGAATTAATCTGCTTTTACCAAGAGTAAGAGATATTCGGAAATCCGTTTTAGTCAGATCCTCATTCACTTACAGTGTTACTTTGTTCTGCGTCAGGGAAGTATGAAAAATGTTTTGGTTTTAGTAAATTGCTACACTCACCTTCAGCATACAATCCTTTGGGATTATCTGGACATGACCTTGATAGATGCCCCATCTCACCACAGATGAAACATTTTGCGTATGGAAATGCCCCTGCAAAGTTCCATACAGTTTATGATCCACATTAAAAACCTTTGTAAAGCCACAGACAACTGTGAACACACTATAACGACAATATTTTACTACACTATTATACTATAAATACTATACTGTCTCTTACACTGTTAGGTTCATCGTTATAATACTGTATTCCTTTAAACATATTACCCTATTTCCTCAGAACACTAAAATTACTAAAACACAAAGCTTATATTTCAGTAGCCAGAAGACTCAGACCAAAGCACCTCGAAAAACATAAATTTCTGAGACATACCAACAGCTGGATCTACTTTTGCTTTGCATTTGCCGATGTCATGTTCTGTGGATCCGCACCGGTAACAGATTCCTGTACCCATATCTTGACTTTCAAGTACTGCAGGACAATCAGCAACACCATGGCCAGGTTCTCTACAGTGGAAACATACCTTTGAAAATAAAAATTAAGTTATATGCATTTTCATAGACACAGTTCACATAGCAAACCACAGCACTTACAGGTGGCATTACTAAAGGATTCACTTACTCCTATTATTATCACCTACAGCCAGTAGACTTTTACTAGACCACTACTTCTCTTGGCTGAAACCTTGAGGGTACTGTCAGATACCTATCTCTAGTGTTGACATTGGAGGTTACTTGACATAAAAAGACAAGATGCTGTGAATGGCACTCAAAGACCTGAAAATCCCAGCCTAATAAGGCCTTCAGGCTTCTTAGAAGGCAAACATATCAAGGGATTTTCTCCTGAGGGAAAGACAGCTAGACAAAAGAGACATCGTACCCTGTCACAAAACAACTGTCAGTGCTCTATGCCATTAAACCGTATTATTATGGGTACTTTTCTCCTTTTACCAACAACACACCGTACGGGGTACTCACTCATTGACAACTGAGTGCTCTGGATGAACGGTGACAGTTGATTTTGACCACAGCACAGCTCTCCAAGCTCTTCAAGTAGTACTGCAGTAAGTGCTTAGGTAAATATAAGCAAGGTTGCACCAGCTCAATAATTTAGGCATGAAGAACTTAAATGTCTCCGATTAATTAGTAGTAGGCTCTCTTTACTATGTTCCTAGATCACATACAGCATAAGTTTACGCTGAACGCATAAGTTTGTGCTGAGATAACTGCTTTTAGACAGCCTCATTAGAGTCTGCTGGAGATCTCGCTCC